AAATTTCCCTCATAGTAAATATTTAATAACATTGGAAAATACAATATATTCAAGTAAACCAATTTAGGTAGCATTATTTTATTCATTTTTTCAAATTGCATACACATTTCTGTATATAAAATAGCAGTCTCTATTCTTAGTTTGGTAGAAAGGGTTTTATTTGGAGAGGAGTGGAAGATTTCCTTATTGTTTGTCCTGTATATTAAACATGTGATTGGAGGATATGTTTTTGAAAAATTAAAGAAGACACTATAGTTACACTTCTGGGTCAAAGGACTAAGTGATTTCACACTTCCATATGTTCATATACTGCTACAAAATTTCTACAATGCATAAAACATGAAAACAAATAAATAAAAACATACTATTGGGCTCCATTGAGAGAGTTGTGTCACTAAGAAATCGAATTATACAGAAATGCAAAAGGGTAAGTTGTTCTGATGCTCCTGGCTTGCTGAGTTCTGGGGGAAGCAGGCAGTAGCCTCCTATGGAACAAACGGATGTAAATGAGATGGAGAACAACAAGTTTCTGCCTAGAGCAAGAGCCCTTGGGTAGGCCTTCGAAGTCATGAAGGGAGCATAGGAAAAAGGTTGCTGTACAACCTTGGGGAGATATTGTTATGCACAGGCTGGTTAAATGGGAAATACATAGTCAGGACCTAGGAGCAGTGCCAGGCCATTCTGTTAACGTTGTTTCACTGGATCTGCTAGATTTCCAATATTTGCCAGGTCCTTGACTGAAGATGTGGACAGAGAAATTCACAAAGTCGCTACAGAAGAAGACAGTTTAGTGGGGCTTGGGGAATGTGGAGAGACAACCAGAACACTTCCTTTCCAAAATGATCCTATAAGTTAAAACTTCAAAACACATGAAGAAGTTTGAATGCTAAAAATGATACCAACCCAAACCAACAATTCTGGGTTGAATTCTCTCCAGATGAAACTTACTTTATGGAACAAAAATTTTAAAATAAGCATATTGAAGCTGTTCAAAGAAACAACTGAAGACATTAAAACAGAACAAGAAATTATGAAACAGAATAGGCAGAAATAAAACAAGAACAGGTGGATATGAACCAAATTAGAACTCTTGGGAATGAAAAACATATAGCCATTGAAATATTGAAAAAGAGAAAAAATATAGACTAGACATGGTCAGAAAGTACATTTCTGTATGCAAGTTACTTGTGAGAAACTAGAATCAGTGCAATAAGATAAAATAATAAAAATTGTGAAAAATCAGTTAAGAACCAAGAAAGGCCTCTTGGTGGAACCTAACACTTGTTCAATATAGGAATTCATGTGAGAATAAGAAAAGGTATAAAAAGTATTTGAAAAGATAATTTGCCAATAGCTTCCTCAAATTAAAGGAAATTACAGATATTTAAGGAGAAAGTCTATCCATATTTAATTGAAAAAGGATTGAAATCTAGACACATCACAGTGAAAAGGCAGAGCATTAGGATTTTTTTTAAAGTGTTTGAAACCTACCCAAGAAAAGTAGGTCATCAAAAGCAATTATATAATAGCAGACTTCTAAACATGCAAGAAGGAAAGGAAAAATCCTCAAGGTGCAAGGAAAAGTCTTCTTCAAACTAGAATTTTAACCTAGCTCAACTGACACTTGAGAAAGGTTCAAACAGTGACATGGACAGTCTACCAGAGTTCTCTAAGCATTGTCACTAAGACGGCAATCAAAGGATGTGCTTCAGCAAAGCAAAATATGAAAGTCTTGAGGTACGAGAAAGAAGAGAATACAAATAATTCATAATCTGTGCAGGCAAAATCAGATAGCAAATAGCAGTAATAGCAACAATAATACATTGTTTATCTTCTTTGTAAAGGTTAACTTAAAATTCAAATAAGAATAAGTAGGTGGTAATAGGGCAATGGTTATATGTACAGGTGGCTAAGACATTCTAAGGCTCTTTTTGTGGCTGAAAGGATCAAAGAAATTTTGAATAACTTTTAAAATGTATGGCCACTATGCAGAGATAAAATTTGTATTATCTAAATCTGTAGAGGGGAGAAGCAGGCAATATGAATAACCAAAACCTCCCAAAAGTCATGGTAAAAGAATGAAATAGAGAAAACTTGTGATAAGGAGAAAAGAGAAATATAGTGGTAGAAATAAGCTCAAATATATCAGTTATACTCAATATAAACATATTAAACTCCCCTGTCACAACACAGAAATTATTAGATTGTGTTTTAAAACTACGGTTATAACTTTTAAAAGATGCATATGAAAGGGAATGGTCTAATGATATCTCTTTGGCAATCATGATGATGATAACAAAATATATTGTGAAATCAATGTAGAGGTACATAAAGTGGTAAGACAATGGAATAGCAGAAAAATAACTCAGAAGTATTCTGTAAATAAGAAAATTGCTATGCATCTAGTTTATAATGGCTGATGGATAGGGAAAGGCAAGACTAGTATTGTATGGCTCTGAGACAATAGACTTAAAGGAACAAAAATTTTAAATTCCTAACTCTTACATAAATAGTTGTAAATGAGACAGAAGAGTCACATAGAGTCATCTGTTGCAAAGAACTTGATAAATTCTAGAAGTAAATATGGAAGAATATGATAGCCAAGCTCTTAAATAAGTCACAGAAGCAAATCTCAAGAACCAACAAACTGATTAAACCCAGCCGCATTGGAAATTTTGAAATCTTTCATAAAACAAAGCATACGATAAACAAGAAATACGAGCAATGGCTTTGGAAAAGACATTTGCAATGCATATTAATGACACAATATTGATGTTCAGAATAATACATGCTTACAAATTTATTTAAAAACCCAACCCAAGGGAATGGGACAAAGAATATCAAAATTCAGTTCACGGGACAAACCAAAGTGCAAATAAATAAATGAAAGAATACTCACCCTCACCAGTAACCAGGGAAACACATATGATAAGATGGAGTACCATTCACATTGATATTCCAACTGGGAAAATGCTAAGTTTGAGAATTTCTAGAATTGTGGATGCACAGAAATAGAGGCATTTAGATTCCACTATTGGACATGTGAATTTGCTCAACTATTTTAGCAAACAAGTGGCCAGTGCATAAGGAATGTGAAATGCATATAATCAGTAATTCCTGGTGATGCACCCTAGAAAAATTGTCACTTATACACAAAAAGACATATGCATACTTGCTCTTGATGAAATTGTTTGCAAATGAAAACTATAAATAACTTAAATTGCAATAAGAATGGTCAAATTATAACCCTATCATCCGCAAAAAGCCATGCAGCAGTGGACCAACATAGATGAATTTAAATAATTCAATATTGATTGGTGAAAGAGTCACAGAATGATATTTATAGTATGACATCATTTAGAGAAATTTTTGAAATAGCACTAGGCATATTTTTGGGTACATAAGGAAAAATATTGGTTTACAAACATGATTACCTAGAGGGAAAAAGGAGAGTGATGCAATCAAATAGGAATATAGAAAAGTCCTAATTCTATTTATTTCTCCATATATTTTAAATAGAAGACTGTGGCACAGATGGCACAATGTTGATATGATAAAGCCATGGTGTAAATGGCTACTGATCATGTCTATATCCTTTTTTGTTTATCTGAAATTGTTAATAACAAAAAATTAGCTTTTGAAGAAGGTAGCACATGGATTGTCAAGGTTTCCAAATTTCCAGTAGGCATTTTCAGAGTTGCCTAGGCTATGAGGAGTCAGAGCATCCAACCACAGGGCTGCTTTTGTTGATGATGGGCTGGTGAGAAGGAGCGGCAACTTAGAACCTTCTACTGGCAAATGTATAGAGGAAATGAACTTGCTGTAGCTGCACCAGCTTCTGGCAAGGTAGGAAATGAGGGCGAATTTGATAGTGAGAGATAACCACTCAGATGTTTTCTTGACATAGAATAGAGTTGTCCATATAGTCCATGGTTTAGTAGCAATTCCTTATCTTTCCAACTGATGGTTCACAGAGAAATATTTGTCAGGCACACTGAAATACAGGCTACCCAGAAACTGAACGGGTGAACAGCGCCCACTATCCCACACGTGTAGCCTATCTATAGTCTACTATGTGCCATAACAAACCGTTTGGGGAATCTTGCCCCAGAAGAGAGTCTTTTTCTCAACAAAAAGGAGAAATATTTATTGGAAACTAGCCTCTAGAACCACTCTGCCACAGTAACCCCTTCTCCTTATAGTCTGTAAACTCATAACACCCAGCATTTCCAGTGATCACTAGGGCTGTTAACTATAGTGAATACCACCTTTGAGAGAAGCTATGCCACCACTTCCACTCTTGAGTGATCTTCAACCCTACCGGTGTTATCAGCATGCCAATACTAGTGATCTCCAACCCTACCGGTGTTATCAGCATGCCAGTACTGTGATCTCCAACCCTACCGGTGTTATCAGCATGCCAATACTTGTGAAAGAGAATGTTATCTCCCATAGCTGCAAACTTCCCAAACATAGTAAAACATCTCTGCCAAGAATAAACTGCTCAGCCCCTTGCTGGGCTGGATGTCAGGGCTGGTGGGAAGAAAGGACTTTCTCATTCTATGGCCAAAATGTGTTGGGTGACTGAACTGTCTCCTAAAAAATGAGAAGCAAAAGTCATCTTGGTTTAAACACAGCCAAGTGACCAGAGTTTGGTCGCTTTCCCAGATGGACTCTTCCTCCTGGGTCATTCGCCCTTCCTGTCAAGGCACCTACTTAGCAGTTTCCTCACTATGATTCCAAAGGTGATTTACAGAGAACCTGAGCTTGAAGTATGCGGCAACACTGGCAGAGTCAAGAGGATGCAGCCCAGAGCTGAAGGGCAGAAAAGGAAGTAGTACAGGGCAGAGGGAAAGGGAGGAAGACAATCATGGTGCGTGAGTTCTGCCATTCAATCATGGGGTCAAAGGAAGATGGAAGGCATTGCACTGGGATAGGCAATAAGGCATCACTGCAGGAAATCACAAAAAGGCCCAAACAGAACAGCCGCACCTACTCACCAGGGCTGGTTATTGTCAGGAGCTCAAGCTGCCGCTGTTGCTGCAAAAGAAAACATATTGTGAGTGTGTTGATTAGAGCCAGGGTTATGCTTATGCAAAGCAGGCCAGGGAGGACATGCAAAGTGGGTGTTCAGTCCCACAGATCAGGGCAAATTGTACCAAACTAGCTGTTCGCTCATAATTCTGCGGAGAGGACTTGCACCCACAGACACCGGGCACTGGGTCATTTGTCTTCAGAAACATAAATGGTTGGAGCTGAGACCTGGAAGGCTTTCCAGTCAAAGTTGCACTCAGAAAACTCCTTCTCCAGTGCCAGATTCCTTTAGTTTCCTCTTGGCTCTGGTCGAGGGACATATATCCTGGCAGCCCTCTTTGATTTGGATACATGTGTTAGTATCACTATCTAGATCTTTCTTCCTAACCCAGATACTTCTGAACTTGTTTATTTCTCAAACCTGCTCAGCAAAGCCATGGGAATCTCAATGGGCAATGATCAAATCATTTCTTCTGTAACTGAATCTTTATCTCTTTGCATCACACATCATTCATACAAAATAGCATTGTGCTAAGACTATCAGGCCAGACTGATCAGTCCATTTGTGTTGGGAAATAAGTGGCCTTGATTCCCCATGGGCTGGGGAGGTCACTGTCAGTAGCTCAACAGGCTGGCTGTACCCTATCATAGCATACCTTCTGGGAAACCACTTGAGTGGATGTCATGGAACCTGTGTACAGAAATGGGTTTGGGATGCTGAGGTGGGGCATCAGAGAAGAGCTCCTTTAAAGATTCCAGTCACAATTCTTTATTCTTTCTTCCTGTTCACCTGTGCTGGTCTACATCTATGTTTCCATAAGCTGTGCTGGAACTCTGATTCTTTTCTTAAGAAAAGCTCTCATTGAGAAGCATTTTTTTTCCCAGGCTACAAAGAGCAGGAGTTTCTGATCACCTGGTATTTCATCCTGCAACCCCCTTGGCTGTATTCCACCCCATCTGCCTTTATCTCTTCATTACACTCCTCTTCCATAGCACTCCCCCCCACCCTCGCATCAGTGACTTCTCATGGACTTAAAATCAAGTCTGCATCCTTTCAAGACCTTTGCAATCACAAAACCCTACTCTCCTGCCAGCTGGTAACTCATTCCAGTTGAATGTTTTCAAGCAAACAATGCAACTGCAAGATGTCACTGAACTACATAGGGAGCACAAATTCTTCTGCTGAAATGAAACACACACTCAGCCTGCTGGGAAGGAATGCTGGGACCAGCTCGCTTTCCCTCCCAAACACAGAGCTGGGCCAGTGGGGAAATTGGCTCAAGCTGCCTTGCCAAAGCCAACCTGTGTGGTTTGGCACCTTCCTCATGCACTCTGGAAGAATCCTTATTTTTCCATAACCTTGACTTTGTGATGATCACAGCTGGTGAAGGAGGTCTGTGTACCTGAGGAGTGTCTGTTTCTAAACTAAGATGCTAACTGGTGACTCTGCATCCAGAATCCAGTAAAGAAACAAAAAAAGCAAGAAAATCTCCCAGGAGTCAGGCAGGTCTGGGCTTGTGTCTTGGCTTTTGAGTGTGGCTTTGTATAACTGACTGAAGGTCTCTGATCTCCAATTTGGCAACCCTAACATGAGCACGTGAGCCTGAAATATGTCAGTGACACGGAAGTCAAGTGAAACAGTCAAGTGCAACAGCTACTTCAGAGTTTCCCAAGAGCCTCCAGAGCCGGACATGGTGTAAGCTGGTGTGGTTCAAGGTCAAAGTCAGCATTCAGAAGGGACCATATTTTAGTTCTAGTCTCAAGCTGCAGTTTCCTGTGTATGTGTGTCTTCCTTGTCAGATAACAAGCAATTTAAGGTCCTGGAACATCCATTGTTCATCTTAATATCATTGTGGCCTAGAATAGCCTTTATTAAGTATTGCTGGGCTTGGAGGAACTAATGTTATATCCATGTTATTTTTTAAATCTCACTGCCAGTGTTCATGCTGAGCCCTCTGCCAATCCTCCTGTAATCTTCCTGGAGAGCCCTCCTTACTTAAGATCTCCATGACAATCAACATACACCAGCCCCTTCTCTTCCTTCCTCGGAACAAAAGGAGTGTTTCCTGCTTTATTCTTCCAGTGAATCTTGTAGCTCTATGTGTTGTATCATGCTTTGTGTCTTGTCTGTTTCCTTGTCTCTCTCACTTCAGGACAAGGCCATGCCATTTCATCTCTATGCCTTGAGCAAAGATCTGGAAGGAATGTTTAATGTCAACTTGCTCAACTTGTAACGCTCTTGTTACATAGTCACAGATCAGCATGGATAGTGCACACACTGCTCCCTCTCTGAGACCTCCTCTGTCACATCTTCAGGTTTCCTTGTCTTTGTAATTTTTCCCTCCGACCATGTCTGCAGCCAACAATACTTTCTCCTGTGGAGACTCCACTTGAAGTTCTTTTGTATTATCCTCTGGAGATAATTTAAATCTAACCTAGTGACAAGACCATTTAACCTACAGTTCACTAACATATGTGTGCACCACCTAGTGGCACAAGCACATAAATGTAAGTTTTGTTTCAACCTGTAGCTGTTCAGATAGGATTGTAAAATCCACATGTTCCATATGCAAATGGTAACAAAGATGTATACACCAGAAATTTAGTTAGAAACAGGAACATTCAAAGAATTTCCCCCAATCCTTCAAAAATTATTCGAGTTTACCAATGGAAAACAGCATTTGTAAAACCAGGGCACGTGATTAATGGGATTTAAAAAATAATGACTCTCAATCAGTCATATAAACTTAGTCCCAATTAAACATAAAAAAACTTACTAAATTATAATTAGTTATGAGCTGAGACGGCTTGAGCCTTTTACATGGACAGAATGAGCTGTCTGAATGGTGGGATCTGCAACATTAACACGAGGAAGTGAAGTCAGTGAGGGAGGCTGGTAGCAGGTTTGGTAGGCAGACAGGACTTACCAGCTATTGAAATGACCAAAAGTTGCAGAGTAGGTAGAGCCTTCACATGTGTGGAAATGGCAGTGTCTGTGTGTGGGAGGGTGTAGGTGGCTGGGAGAGCGCAGGGAGAGAACAGTCGTCCTAAGATAAAGGAATTTCATATGCAGTCAGAGAGGAATGTGCCTAAGTTTGCTTGTGTAGTATTCTTTGGGCTTCTGGTGAGGTGTGAATCATGTTGCCATACTAGGTCAATTTTAGTTCTAATTGTATAACAGCCCTGCATTCATCTTTCCTTGGTAGACCAAGGTGTCACATATGGACACTGGCTGCAGGAGTGGATGAGGCCCAAGTGTTGGTCCCCAGTATCCACATGGGAGACCCAGATGAAGCTCCAGGCTTCGGCTTGGCATAACCCTGGCCATTGTGGCCATGTGGGGGAGTGAATCAGCAAAGGGAATCTCTCTGTTTATCTTCTATCCCTCTTTCTTTCTCTGTCTGTAATTATGCTTTTCAAATACATAAATCTTTTTTTAAGTTTATCTGCATTTATTTGAAAGACAGGAGGAGATACAAAGAAATAGACACACACACACACACAGAAAGGTGGGTAGAAAGGGAGATATTTTGGATGGGAAGAGACAGAACGAGAAAAAGAGAAGGAAAGATTTTCCTTCTGCCGTTTCACTCCACAAATGCCAACAGCTAGGGTTGATTGAGGCAGGAGCCAGAAGCTGGGAACTGCCTCCTGAGCTCCCATGTGTGTGGCAAGGATCCAAGGCCTTGAACCTTGCTCTGATGCCTCCCGGGGTACACATTAGCAAGAAGCTGAATGGAAAGCTGAGTAGGACTTGAACTCAGATACTTTGACATGTGATGGTGTGTCCCAAATAGTGACTTAACCTATGGTGCTTCAACACCTGCCTCTAGTCTGAGTCATTTTGAAGTATAAGTCACATATTTTTAATGTATACATTTTTTACTTCCTCTACTATTTTGATTCTAATCCTTTTCAGGCAAAGTAGTATTAACCAATAAGATAGCAATTAACCAATAAGATAGCAAAAAACCAATTGGTTTTAGTGTCACACAAAACAGTTTGAAAAGTGCAGTTACTACAGCTTTCTGTGTAAAGACTAGAGACTACAGAGCAATATCCAACCTAGAAGATACTCTTCTGTTCATATCTGGAGCTCGTCTGATTACAATTACAGGAAGAATTCTGTAGAATGAGCATCAGACTAAAAAAAAAAAAAAATCAAAGGGATGAATTCCGAGAAGTAAGCCATCCTCCAAACTGTGTTATCCTAAGCATGTTACTCAAGATAGCTTCCATTAAAAGAGTGCACACTAGCTAAGAGGGTTAAGAGGAACTAGGCCCACAGAGACAAATGAAGGCCTGCTCTACAAAGTGTTCCATACACAGACTGGTGGAGCACTAGGATTTCTGAGAGTCAGCTCCAGTCCTCTGCTACCTTAGTCTGAGTCTTTGCACTTCTAACTATCTGGTACACAGCCTTCTATAACAGATGAACTGATATCCTTGTTTCTAGTTTTGCCTAATTTCTCCTATTAATCCTCGACATTGCAGCTGGAGTGAATTTTCTAGAATGTAAATCTTAAATCTCATCAAGGCTCCTACAGGATAAAAGTTTAACCTTCAGCGGCTGTTGGAGGTCTTCCATGACTTGGCTCCTGCCTTCCAGGGCCTGTTCTCTTCATCTGAGCTCTAGTCATCCAGTTGTGATGGACCACTTCCAGTTCTTAAGTTTGCTGTGCTTTCCTTTCCAGGCATTTGCTTTTATTGTTTTTGTCTACTTGAAGAAACAATCGCACACCCAATCTACTTGGCATAGACAGATAATTCTATGTATTGTTTGGATCTTAATTCATATGTCATGTCTTCTGTGAAACCTTTTTAAAATCTGTCAAGGCTGAGCTGGATATTGGGCTTGACTTTATAAGATAACCTACTCACTCCTTCACCCTCTCCACTGTCTGAACGGGTTCCCTTAGGTCACAAGGCTGTGTCCTCTTAAATTCTCTGATCTAGAAGCAAGCTGCTCACTCGATCAACAGATGCCTCAGTAAGGACTTGCTGTT